CGAATGGGCTTCCTGACGGTGGATTGTTAGAGGGAAAAGGGCCTTCAAAAAAAAAAAACCCTGGTTGCTGTGAGGATGATGCCGCGGCCGCAGCAGCTGCCGCCCTGGCGGCGCACGCCGGGGAGGCGTTGGGGTGACGCGTCTCAGTGTGGGCCTCTTTGGGGATCATGGGTTCTTTTGTTTTCCAAAAAACCGAATACAGGGGCCTAAAATTACCTATGCCACTTTCGGGGGTTCCTTATTGTAGTTATAGTGTAATACACCCCAAAAACCTAGTCTAATTATTAAGGCCCCTATATTATGCTTCCTTGGGGTTCACAGAAGAGTTGGTGCGTAGCTTCTTTGAGGTTTGAAGAGAGCGCTTGCATTTAGGAGTAGGGCGTTACGGTGTACTACGGTGTACTATGCTTTCTAAGTTGTTGGCATGCTAGCTTGTGTGCTGGATCAGCAGAGCTCCGAGATAGAGTTTTCCATGCTCTTCTATGGGTAGAAACCCTAAACCCTGAACCCTAAGCCCATTACCCCAAACCCCCCGAAACCGTCCCGTTCCTAACCCCACAGGCCCTGGACGTTGAAACCTTGCGCCTGAAAGCACCTCTTTTGGTAACCCCTTACTGTAGCCCTGAAAGGAGACATACTTCTTGATATCCCAGGCGCCTTACGAAGAGGAACCCTGATGGGAACCCTTCGAGGTACCCTTATCGGAACCTTATGGGAACCCCTGTGCTAAACTGTTTAGGGTTTAGGGTGTATTAAAACCCTAAAACCTAAACCCTAAACCCTAAACCCTAAACCTTGAACTCCCGGTTCGCCAAATCCTAGCTCGCCACGAGATCTTCGTCGTTGCCGACGGCGAGCCCATCAGCCGTCGCGGCATCTGCGAAGCGGCCGAATCCTTGGGAAGGTGTGGTTAATATAGCAGGCTCTCATGAACTTTAATGATTAGGGTTTAGGGTTTAGGGTTTAGGGTGTAGAATAGGCTTCCTTGGAGGGTTCCCTTAAGGGTTTTGGTAGCAAGGGCTTCTATACGCTTTAGACTCTAACAGCCTCGTCCCTTCAGCCTCCGCTGAAACTTTTAAGTACGAAACCCAAGATCCCTCAACCCGAACCCCTAAATCCCCAAACCGCTACAAAGCCGTACAGTAACAACACGACCTGACAGACACAGTGTTATCGCACCCCCCCATTGAAACAGGCGTTGGATCACCAAACGCTACCCTCAGGCGTAAAGCCACTACAAAAATTTTACACTGAACCCTAACACCCTAAATCCCTAAAGCCCACACAAATCCTTAAACCCTAAACCCTAAACCCTAAACCCTAAACCCTAAACCTCGAGGTGGGGGTGGCAGAGTTGACCTGGCACGACCTACCACCGCCGTGGAGGATGCACCCACGACCATCCACGTCGCCCTACAGCAGAGGCCCGCGACCTTCGGCTCCTTTGTCTCCTACAAGGCCCTCGGTACCTGCCCCCTCCACGCTTCAGCCCGGGGACCCTGGCTGGACCTTCCAACATACCTGGGATTATGTCAGGCTACACCGTGGACTTCGGGGTGAGGCGTCCACTTTCAGGGAGACCCACCTCTGGGGGATCCTGGCTGGGCAAGTTGGCAACCCGGCTTCTGGTTTTGGGCTCACTGATATTCCCACGGAGGGCGAGGCAGTGTCCACGAATGCGGAGGATGCTATGACCGTGCAGCACGCGAATAAGATTTCACAGGCGGACGCGGACCACCATGACGTGCTGATCGGGGAGGGGCCATCAGGTGATGATCCAGAAGGTGCTCTTCCGGAACTAGCTCATGGCCCTCACCTTCCACCTGGAGATCCTGCTCTCGCTCCTCCTCCAGCTGTACCTGCCCTTCTACCTCTTCCAACTGGTGTGGTGTCTGAAAGTGTGGGTGACTCGTTGGCCGTACAAGGTGATGCTGACATTGAGGATGCTGTCGTGAATGTCGTGAATGCTGCGAATGGTGGGCATGTGGAATGAGAGGGAATGTTTCACTAGTGTAGGCCTCGTGAGGCTGGGATGGTCGTAAAGTCCGCTCCATTGCACTTTAAAAAAACCCTAAACCCTAAACCCTGAACCCTGCACCCTTAATCCCTACAAGACCCTCAAGCAAGAAGCCCTAAACCCTAAACCCTTAACCCCTAAACCCTTAACCCTTAAACCCTAAACCCGAAACCCTAAACCCTCAAGCAAAAAGCCTCGAGGCCCTGAAGTCGCAGCGTTACAAGGATGCTGCAATGCCCAACTTCGAGGCCGGGGACGAAAGGAGGCTTCTGTTTTGGCATTCGGGTTTAGGGTTTAGGGTTCAGGGTTTAGGGTTTACGGTTTAGGGTTCAGGGTTTAGGGTTTAGGGTTTAGGGTTTAGAGGGTTTAGGGTTATATCTCTATCGATGTCCATATCTCTGCTTCTATCTCCATCTAGATCTACATCTTTTCTGTATGTTTATCTTACGTCCATGCAGGTATACATGTATAAGGCGGTTGTTGTGTATGAGCTCTCGCACGCGAGCTCCCTTTCTCTATCTCTCTCTGCGCGCGGTCGCTCTCTCTCCCTCTCTACAATATATATATATATATATGTATATATGGGAATTGCATGTCTGTCCATACACATATATATATATATATATGTATATATGTGTATATATATATATATAATATGCAGAAAACCGATCGTCACCGAGTCCAGCGCCGGAAGAGCCTAAACCGAGCCCTACAGCCTAAACCCAAGCCCCTCAACCTGAACCCAAACAGGGAGCCTACACCCTAAACCCTAAATCCTGAACCCTAAACCCTAAAAGTTGAACCCTAAACCCTAAACCCTAAACCCTAACCCTAAACCCTAAACCCTAAACCCCTAAACCCTAAACCCTTGAACCTTAAACCCAAGCAGGGAGACTAACCCTGGCACTTGAAGCCTGAACTTCACAACCATTACAAGAGCCTCCCACCTATAGTCTCCATTGTTTATAAGGGTCAAGGGTCTAGGGTTTATAGGGTTTAGGGTTCGGGGTTTAGGGGTTTAGGGTCTATGGGGTTCATGGTTTTCCAGCGGCTACCTGTAGTCTCCATTGTAGTTCCTTTTTGGGGTTACCTTATGGAATCCTTAATATATACATGGTTAAACCAAAAAAAGGAACTACAATGGAGACGATAGGCATAAAAAAAGGCTGCAACACTCCGCCCGATGAGCCGGCAGAGCTCCAGAGGTTTTGGGGGTCTCAGGCTCCAGGTTCAGGGTTTAGGGGTTTATAGGGTTTAGGGGTTTAGGGGTTTATAGGGTTTAGGGGTTTAGGGGTTCAGGGTTTATGGGGTCTAGGGCTTCGGGTTTTAGAGGGTTTTGGGTTTTAGAGGGTTTAGGGTTTTAGAGGGTTTAGGGTTTTAGAGGGTTTAGGGTTTAGGGTTTAGGGTCTTAGAGGGTTTAGGGTTTAGGGTACTAGGATAGTTCTCTGCCACCCGTGGCGCCGCAGGCAGCAGATGCACCGGGGGGGCGGGGTCCGGGCCCAAGCTCTCTTGAAGTCAAATACGTTGGGGGACTAGGGTTTAGGGTTTAGGGTTTAGGGGTTTAGGGTTTAGGGTTTAGGGGTTTAGGGCACCATGGTCTCAGTATTGTTTTGCGCCCATGATGGCTATAATTCCGCTAAACCTTAAATTAAGTCGATCCAGCAGGCGAAATGACACGTCTGCCTCGTGCCAGGCAAGGTTCTGGATGCCTCCCGTTTTCGTACCAGCGTCGGCGGGGGCCCCTGCTCTCATGATATTGTTTGCGGTTCGCAATTGGAAAGAATGAGTGCGAAGTCTATATAGTGCGAAGTCCACAGCAAGTTGCAGAACAAAGCAGAGACAACACGGTCATTGACGAATGCTATGCGGACTCCGCAGAAGGAGAAAGGACTTCGATTGTACGAAGCACGCGGTGAAAGCTACCAGGACTGCTGCTGAAACTTTTGACTCCTTAGCGGTTAGCAATACGCGCTTGACTTTCTAAACACCCAGCCACGTGTGTAAACGATGTTCAGGAGCAGTCGTCCTTAAATATGGGGTTCTCTAAACTAGGGTCCCACTTTGGGGTGAGGTTCAGGGTTTAGCAAGTGTTTGGGATTTGGAGTTCCTCTAAGCCTTAAATCCCACTCCGAAACCCCACGACCCCCTTTCTTCAGGCTCTCTTTTCGCTTGCCCATGATAGGTGCAACGTGCTCCTTTGGGGGATCACGAGCCTTCTAGGCCCTAAACCCTAAACCCCAAACCCTAAACCAAGGCCTTTGGACCCAAACCTGAGCTGTAGAACTGGAGCCCCTGAAATCCCAAACCGAACGACCTGAATTGCCTTGGTGTACCTGCAGTCTTGCAAGTAAAGGCAGCTCGAAGCTGCAACGTTGGGTTATAGTTTAGGGTCTAGGGTTTAGGGTTTAGGGTTCAGGATTTAGGGTTTAGAGTTTAGGGTTCAGGGTTTAGGGTTTAGGGTTTAGGATTTAGGGTTTAGGGTTTAGGGTGAAGCCCAGGCTGGAAGCCGGAGTGCAGCTCTTTCGCAAGCTTTATGGCTGCTCACTGACAGGCTGAGAGGGGAGGCTTGTCATTTGGGGGTTTCCGAAAATAGGGACCCTAAAATAGTGCCCTAAAATAGTAGGATCCCGATTATAAGGACCCCAAAATACGGTACCCTGATTTTCTGAAACTCCCATTTG